GAAGATCGCCTGAGGAAGGCAATGGAAGCTCAATCGATAATCACACAGGAACTGAAACGGTTTGAGGCATGGAGGGACTCTCTGGAGACTGTTCCAACCATCAAGAAGCTCAGATCCTATGCTGATAGAATTCGGGCTTCTGAGCTCGAGAAATGTCTCCAAAAGATTGGTGATGATGGCGACCAATCCAATGTCCGAGTCATATCTCGGACAATCCAATGTTCGAGTTGCATCTCGGCTAGTCCAATGCCCGAGCCACTCCTCGTGGCTAGTCCTACATCCGAGTCACATCTCGACCAATCCAATGTCCGAGTCATATCTCGGCTAGTCCAATGCCCGAGCCATGCCTCGTGGCCAACCCAATGTCCGAGTCACATCTCGGCCAGTCCAATGCCCGAGCCACACCTCGCAGCCAATCCAACGTCCGAGTCCCATCTTGACCAGTCCAATGCCCAAGCCACACCTCGTGACCAGTCCAATGTTCAAGTCGCATCTCGGCCAGTCCAATGCCCGAGCCACGCCTTGCGCCCAGTCCAACGTCCGAGTCGCATCTCGACCAGTCCAATGCCCGAGCCATGCCTTGCTGCTAGTCCAACATCTGAGTTGCATCTAGGCCAGTCCAATGCCCGAGCCACGCCTTGCGGCCAATCTTACGTCAGAGTCGCATCTCGGCCACGCCTCGCTACCACTCCAATGTCCAAGTCGCATCTCGGCCAATCCAATGCCCGAGCCACGCCTCGCGGCCAATCCAACATCCGAGTCACATCTCAGCCAGTCTAATGCTCAAGACACGCTTCACGGCCAATCCAACGTCTGAGTCGCATCTCGACCATTCCGATGCTTGAGCCATACCTCGTGGCCAATCTAATGTCCGAGTCATATCTCGTATATCCAGCTCTCGAATAGAAGCTCTTGATCAATCAACAACCAAACCAACAATCCCAGCACGACAGCCAACCCAACTAGCGAAAGGCACGAAGCCATGCCCCAAGCCCCTCCATGAGGAACCCGGGGTACGCCTCTTTAGGGGGGAGAGAATGATAGGCCACATTTTGGTATCGTCCATGTTGACCCAGGAAAGCAGACACGACGATATAGACGTGAAACTTTAAATCCGATGTGGCGCGTAGCACACACGTGGCGGGCAGCTGCTCGTCGCCCCCTCCGTACGAACGACATCATCACGGTACAGTCATCCCGAAAAGCTCGGGGCGACGCCGATCCGTGCAGGTCAGTCGGCGCTCTCACAAAAGCTTAAGTCGGTCGTAGTTAATTGACCCTGTATGGCCAAATCATCCTCGTAGGTATAAAAGCTAACCCTCCTTGATCAAGAAAGGAGGACACTCAACTCCCTCAACTCCATAATACTGACTTGAACTTCGGAGGGGTCGAGTAGGGAAATCCCCCTCCTGACCCCGACCTTTGTGCAGGAACTGACAACGAAGCAGCAGCAACCCGCCGAGGGAGAACCGTGCTCGGGAGACGACGCTTGGACCTAACTCGACCCGACGTCGACATGACCCGAGTATCCACATGGGCAACCTTACGCATCCGGGACTAGACCAAGCCATACTGATACCACGACCATGACGTAAAGGTTCACCAATAGTAAGGCATTTAGTTCTTGGATTAGGTGAAGGAAATTGCTGCCGACGACGGATGGAAACTTCAAAGAAGTTTCTCCCCTGCCCTCCATCGAGAGAACTGCAGGCATCTCGTCCCGGTGCCGTGCTGTCACTGCTGCTCATGCACCTACTCTGAGTTCGCCTGCATCTTCAGCCCGTGTGTGATGTCTTCAAGTTTATGATGCCATTTGTAGCAAAATCACAGAGGAATCTCTGAGTGGGATTCATGGCTGATCGAAGATTTGCAGCTATCAAACTGGGAGGAAGAGAACGGTTGACAAAGATGAAAACAATCAATCACCGACTCCTATCGGCTTAACCCGAATGCTCTGTTCATTTAGGGACGGACAAAATGGGGATATTAGCAAAGGCGAGAATCTCAGATCATGAAGTCCGAGAATACGAGTGTTCCAAAGCTGATGCTGGATGACATTTGATCTGACTGGAAGTTGCATGAATTAAGCCAAGCAATAGAGAAGAAAGCCTGACATTAGATCTCCTTTCGTTTTCCCTTATTAATAACTCCTCTTGGAAGCTGGTCAACGACGAAAGCAGCAGTCCCACGCCATCTTCTTCCGCATTCGATTCGATCTTATCCGGTGATACATCTCCTCGCCGTTTGGTTAGCCTGCGTCCTTCTCCGCGATAGCAATGATTCCGAGGAAAGTCTCCTTGAGATGAACCTCCTTCTGACTGCATTTCCTATGTGGACGTAATGATGATAGCGGTCATCTCCGTCAGTGAACTACCGGATGTACACGCTGTCTCAGTATGGACCTCAGAAGCAGAAAGCGCTCGTTTTATTCATGCCAGACGAGAGACGCAAATAAGTAACAAAAAGGTTTGATCATTAAATGAATTCCAAAGGGTCGGCATCGCTGCCATTACTACTCGTCTTCTTCCATCTTTCGTTCATCAGTTCTCGAGCAGATTCACCGCGCATGTTCTACATGTCATGCGCAGATCGTGCCTTCCTTTCAGCTCTCATCCTCGCCAAAAACTTCAAGGCTCTTCTTCCAGACAAACATCTCCTGATCCTGACGTGAATTGAGCAGGATCAATAATTTTGTGCCTTTTAAAGGTGTATCCGAACCTGAGAAATTATCGAGTTTTATGGCCTTGCTGTAGGTTCTGCTCTGGGAAAGCAAAGTGTTCGTCCTCTGTTCGAAGATAAATCGTGTCTTGATGATGCAGAGAGTTTGGAGTGAGTTGCAAAAAGTAACTATTAGATGAAAGAAACTACAATGATAAACTATTAGAAAGTATAAATTGGTGAAGAAAGTAAGAGGAGATCTACAGTGTGCCAAAGCCTTGAAATGATCTGCTGATAGAGAAGGTAGCTTTCAAATGCATCTACACCCAACCCTCAGGAAAGCTACTTCCTTGACTGCCAATAAAGTCGGTTGTTCCGGTCAAACCTTGGGAGAAACAGAGCACGGTGGTATAAGGAAGCATCGGCTCTCTCTCCTTCTCACCAAATTTTGACCGACGGCTGTCATACTGTTCTTGTTGGGGTTAGAGAAAACTTCGGCGACAGTATCTTTGGCCATTTTGCTTTTCCTTCAAGTAAATTCCACACTGGTCGTTGGTTGGAGAGAGAAAGAAGCTTCACCAGCCCAGGGGGCAGGGGTGATTTTATCTGGTCGATTTTGATCTTGTAGAAAAGGGCATGAGATTGGTGTAATGGATGTTTCCAACACCACCCAGCGACTCTCACAAGTTCATCATGCATTTATGAACAAAGCATTCATAGCACCTCTCCTTGGTCAACCATCCTTTCCATTTCCATCTATCTTTTTCTCCTCCCAATCTCCATCACAAAACAAAGCAAATGAGAGAGAGAGAGAGAGAGAGAGAGAGACTTGCAGCTCTCGCCAAAGAAGTACCAATTCAGCAAGTAAGAGAAACTTTTACCATCAATTGTCTGGCCTTGAAACCCATAAAGATCCTCCACTGCCACTTCTACTTTGAGAGGAGCTTCTGAGACTCTCTGCTCCTTGTTGGCCATGGCCACCAATGACAACCATCCAACATGGGTTGCCTATGAGCCAACCAAGGACTGCTCTTTGGGCTTCTGTAGCTTCTACTGCCCCCAGTGGTGCTCTGTTATCTTCTCACCCCCTCCTCCCGTCCAATTCGCCGACGAGGGCTCCGGTCGGACCTTCTCGCCCCTCGTGATCGCCGTCATCGGAATCCTCACGAGCGCCTTCCTCATCGTCAGCTACTACGCCATCGTCTCCAAGTACTGCGGCACCTTCAGCTCGCGACGGTGGTGGTGGCCCAGGCCTGGGCACGGCACAGGCACCGACGACGATGAGCTCGACAGCAACCTGGGACAAGTTGGAACATGGCATTTCTCCCCAACGAATGGGCTCGACGAGGCCCTGATCAGTAAGATCACGGTCTGCAAATACAAGAGAGACGACGGCCTGATCGAGGTTACCGACTGCGCGGTGTGCCTGGGCGAGTTCCGGAAAGACGACACCCTCCGGTTGCTCCCCAAGTGCAGCCATGCCTTCCACGTTCCGTGCATCGATACTTGGTTGAGGTCACACTCCAACTGTCCTCTCTGTCGAGCCAATATCGTGCCTGTGACTTCGGCGGCGCCGCTGCAGTTGCCAGCTCCTCCTCCACAACAGACGGAGAACAATATTCCGATCAGGGAGGGCGAGCACGAGGATGAGGTGGTTTTAGTCATCCCCGACGGAGACGAAGAGACAGAATTGCCTAAGAATCCCTCGCGAATTCACTGCAGCTCCGGAGAGATGGAGGACGGCAGTACGGTGGTCGGGACTAGAGACGGTGATCTGCAGCCGATAAGGCGATCGCTGTCGATGGACTGTTCGTATCGCGACGGGGTTTCGATCGTCGAATTGTTGCAGATGACCTATGCGAGTTCGTCAAGACGGTGGGGAGGAGAGCACAGAAAGAACAGTAGCAGCACGAGCGGGCCGCACGGTGTGATGAGCCCCGCCCCGATGAAACGATCCTTCTCTAGTGGCAGAGTGTGGTTGACAAGGCAGGCGAAGGGAAGCAATTCAATGCTCCCAGTGTGAGATTCCATGAAGGACTCGATGTACACTTCCCTTCCATAAAGTGTATAGAGCAGACACAAAAAAGAACATCACAGTGACTTCCTGCTTTCTCCAGCAACATGTTTTGGCTTACATGAGTTCAAATCCTATCTTCCGTCTTGTGGGCTTGTGATTGTTTTGTCAGAAGCTTCAAGTTTGAAGACATGCATGGGGACAGAATCAGATGAGTAGTAATCTCTTCTACTGTATCCAATACGTCCCATTAACACAAGTCTAAAGAAAGCACAGTGGTCGGAACACGGAGAAGAGGATTGCCCGTAGCACACGAAACCGGAGAAGAGGATGTATTAAACCATGGCCGAGCGTCTCCTAATTACATTAGAATACAAGAGTTATGTTGATTGTGGAGAGATGTTTCCTATCGTTAAGGACTTGAAAACCTTGGTGTACTTCGGTTAATGATCTTTCTAATGAACGTTCGGCTTGTTTTAGGACAGTGGAAGTCTCCATCTTCCCTACTGTGGCTCAGTAAGCCGGTTGATATGTCAAAGCTGACTGACATGGGACTGATGAATCATTCATTTTCTTAGCCGCGGCATAAAATAAAAGTACTATTGATATTGATGAAAATAAGTTTTATTGTAGAAATGAAAATGCTTTAATACATTAACATGTTTCAGTAGATCGCTGCTATTGTTGCGATTGTTATTCTGCGAGGGCACTCTGATACCATGATGAAAATAATAGAAGAAATAATAGAAGATAAGAATAATTATTAAAGAAGCTTTATTGAAGAAATGAAAATGCTTCAATACATTAACATGTTTCTCTCCTATTTAAGAAAGGATTTCCCTCAACAGAATAGAGGATTTTTCTCAACAGAATAAAGAGATTTCCTCGTATAGTTGAAGAAATATTATCTTCTATCAGATATGTCGATTCTTATTAGCGATCAGTCTCGTCATATAATATACAAACAGCAACATTATATGTAAACTTGAGATGCGAGGATCCTTAACGCCCATCAATGGCGATATGTGGCTACAACTACTCCTATAATGATGTCGTCCAAGAAATTTTGGGACGTCTTTCTGCAAGTTTCCTTTGGATGCTGCTCCGTGAACATATGCTCCCTGGATGGACTGAGTCACTCTCCGGTCTTCAATTCGTCTCCGGACACTATCAGAACTCGGGTCCATTCTTTCCTTTGCAAATGAACTATCAAAGTTTAACCCCTCGAAATTATTAGATAAGTGTATGTCTAAGTTCCTCACACATATAATATACATAGAATATAATAAGATATATATATTATCATCACTTAAATAATATATTTTGTGGCATTTATATTTTAGAAACATGATATATGACATGTTCTTATTATCGATTTTTTGAATTAAAATACACATGAAATTTGAAGTATATACAAATATTAATCTTTATTTTAAATATATTTTATAACGAAAAGGTATGATTCTCTAATATAATAGGTGTAAGTGTCCTAACGAACTTGAGTATGATATTAAATTATGACAATAAATATGTGCACAATGATTAAAAAGATTTTTGTATGACAGTAGTTCTTAAGTCATTACCAAGATTTGAATGAACTCAATCATATTTAAAGTAAATGAGCTTGAGGTTTAAACATCATATAAGTGCAGGATATCAAATTGATTTACTTATGGATGGAAGGAATTATGAATAATTAAGTAGATATTAAAATCAAATAGGAGTGCTACACTAAAATTTTAAGATGCATAGATAAGATTGGAGGATGAATTTAGAACAAAAACTCATCCTTCTTATCAATCCAAATTAGGGTCAAGTTAAATTATAGCAATCATAAAATTATGTTAATAAAGAAAAAAAAAACTTGAGATGAGGCCTAATATGATTAAACCTAAGACCTCATTGCAACCTTCTAAGCACATCCTTTTCTAGTTTGGCTTTATCCTTCTTGTCAACCTGACAAGTCATAATCATTTTCTCTCCTTTTTCATTCATTCTCTCATTTCTTCACCTTGTTTACATGGATGCCAAGAACCATAGTTCCAAGGAAGAATAAGGTAAGAAATTATAATCATTCCCTAGATATAACATAGGGTTTTAGTTTAACAGATTGTAAATAAATTTTTAGCTATTTTTGTGTAACCTAGATTTATGATTTAATCCTCCATCTTTAGCTATATTTTGTATGAATGTATTATCATTATAAAATCTTTGATATTATCTTAATCTGAAATTTATAATTAGAGTTACAAGTGTTCCAAGATGAAGTGCTCAGAATTTATTCCATCAATCCTTTTTTTTTTTCTATGTGCATGTCACAATTTAATTTTAAATAGGTAAGCACTCATTATTATATTTGATCTAAAATTACTTTTAGTTAATAAACTAATTTTAATGATACTCACTTGTTGTCTACAACAAGTCTCAAAAATACCAACTCATCTATCTATCACATGCACGACACGTGCTAAGATGAACATGTAGGAATTTAAATATTATATTAAATTAAAATTGTAGTGTTAGATTAGAAGCACCAATACCGTAATGATTGCCAAGTAAAAATAGTAAAGTAATAATACCAATATAAAAATAATCAAATATAATATCCACCTAAAAAATTGAAGACGGTGTGTTAGGTATTCACCTTTAAGCAAATAATAATATTGTTGATATCAATTATACTTGCTATCTAACAACGATGATGTTTGGTGTGATTCTTTGAATTTTAATCAATGCTTATCGACATTGATGTCATCGGCCTTTTTATTTGAATTTTAGTCAATACCTTTTTTTAATACTATTTAATTTTAAAAATAAACACTCCCATTATTATGTTTGATCTAAAATTACTTTTAGTTGATAAACTAATTGTAATGATACTCACTTATTATTTGCAACCAGTCTCGAAACCACATACCCATCTATCTGTAACGACCATTACAATTGGGTAGATAAATAGATAGAAATTTAAATATAATATTAAATAAAAATAATAATGTTAGATTAGAACTACCAACACAAGGATTGTCAGGTAAAAGTAATAACGTAAGAAGACCAATATAAAAACAATCAAATATAATATCTATCTAAGAAATTGAAGATGGGATGTTAGGTATTCCCCTTTGTGCCAATAATTATTTTGTTGATATCGGTTGTGCTTGCTTTCGAATGAGGATACACTTGATTCTTTGAATTTTCATAAATGCCTACTGACATTAATGCCATTAGACTTCTTTTTTTAATTTCTAGGTGCGTGTCACAATTTGATTTTAAACAGAAAAACTCTCATTATTATGTTTGATAGAAAATTACTTTTAGTTAAATTAATTTTAATGATGCTCACTTGTTGCCTACATCCGGTCTCAAAAATATCTATATGATAAGGAATATAAAATTGGCTAGCCACCATTTATCGTGTAAGACCAACACCATCTTATCGATATGGATAAGAGTCCAAAAGGTAGCTCAGATCGATTACGAATTACCTCTCCTATGAAATATTTGTAGGAATATTTATGAAAGTCTATGGGCTACCACGGGTCGGTTACAAACTGCCTCTCATACAGAATATTCATAGGAGTATTCTCGAAAATCCTAGGGGCAACTAGGGTCAGTTACGTACTACATTCATCGTAGAATCTTTATGAGATATGTCTTCTTCTCAAGGTCAGTATAAAAACATACATTTAACTCTAGGTTAAGGGAGTAGAGATCTCGATACTAACTTAAGCATCAGAAAGACTGACTTAGGAAGCTATTTGAACCTTGATCTTTGAGCAGGTAATGAGTTTGAAGAGGTTGAGCTCTATTTTGAATGACTTCTCGCATATGGATCAGGGCCGCAATGTATTGATGAAGATGTCAACGATATTTTTTCCTAACATTTTGATGCTAGAATGAGGGCCCAATGTCGCAAGAGTATCCATAAGCTGACCCTATCCATGAACATTCAAGTGAGGCTTCACTTCCGACTCACGATACTTTTACTCAAACAGGGTAACATATGCCCTTTCCCCACATATATATGATCACCTTATCGCGAGTAACAATGCAGTACTAGTGTTCGTTCAATGACCCTAGACCTTTATCTCTAGGAGTGTTGTCGAACCATCTACTCATTCTTGTTGATGCATTCTTAAACCTTACCTAGCAAATACAAGCATTAGCCAATATAATATAGGCTATTACCCCACTCTTTCCTCGATTAGACTAGTGGGGTATGTCGACTTTCCCAGCATAATCATCTTTTCCTTTGGCATATTGTCTAATATATTGGTATGTCGATTTTCTCATAACATTTGATCTTTTGATGCAATATCGATTCTTCGTGCATGATGTCCAAACTTATAGCATGAAGTCTAATCTTTGGTATGTCGACTAATCCTCTTGCTCGACGTCTAATTTTTGACATTATACTTTTCTCGACATAACATTCGTTTATCATGTTTTGATAATTTACCCTTTGATGGTTTGAGTTGGTGATCGAAATATTTTCTATGTCACTTATCTTAAAAGTATATTAGTCCATAAACTCATCAATTAATTTCATCATCAAAATATGAGATTCAACATCCCCAAGCTCTTAAATTTGCTCCTCCACTAAGGCAGCCTTCCTTTCAAGTTCCCAGTTAAGTGTCTTTGTTGAATCCAACTCTCTAATGAGCCCCAACAACTCCTCCTTCATAACTTGGTTACTGCCCCAGACACCTTTTAGTTGCTTAGCCAGGGTAGCAAGCCCTTACTCGACTACCTCTAACTTTTATGCAAACTCATTACTCCAAGTCTTCACCTCGGCAACAACAACAATAGAATGATCAACTCTCGCTTCCTTCAACCTCTCGACCTTTACCTGAAGGTTGACATTTTCCCAAGCCTGCTAGTCGATAACAACATCGATATCTTGAACCCAGTCCGACAAGGATGTCACATAATGATGGTGCTCAAGTACAAAGACAAGTGATAAAAAAGAATAAACACTTATGGCCTGGCTTACCAGTACTTTATTGTGATAGTCCTGATTGAGCAACACCTTAGAGAGGGAGGGATAAATCTACTTTGTTAGACATATGAATCCCCAACAATACTGCTCCAAGGCTTCACTATCATCTCACACCTTTTGCCCCTCCTACAAGCCTTCTCATATCTATTACAATGGGGTGCTCGAGATCGAGTCAGGCAGGTTAGTTATTGTCAAAGTCGCGAAGGGCTAAGGCCTCCCCTATGTACTATTTTGTCTAGAGTGACACCACGTGTGATCTGAGGTGGTTACCAGCTTGGTGGTATCAGAACATCCTCTATCACTATCCATCTATCTATCACATAGGTACATAGATGATTAGATAGAAATTTAAATATAATATTAAATGATAACAAAATGTTAGATTAAAAGTATCTATGGATTGCCTAAGAAAAAAATACTAAATTATGAAGATCAATATAAAAACAATCAAATATAATATCTATCTAAGAAATTGAAGAC